GCTAGCCGATTTCATGTAAGCCGCCATACGGTCATTTTTGGCCGCATACTCCCTCTTTAGCTGATTGATCACCAGTTTTGAATCGCAAAATATAAGTAAACGCTGAGCACCCAGAAGATGTGCATTCTGCAAACTAGTCAGAAGGGCTTCGTATTCGGCCTCGTTATTTGATGCTTCGAAGCCGAGTTTGACGGCCTGCTCAATTATTACTTCGTCGGGAGCCATGATTACTACTCCGCGCGCAGCTCAACAACTAACGGATGATCCATCACAGTACAATGGTCAAATATCCCCGACATAAATTCTCAAGTTCATCTTTGGTAGAACTTCAGCCTTTGGTCGAGCTTCATCTGGTTTGAGGTACCGGCTGGTCTTTTTCTTCCATCGGCACTATTTGTTGCCGGTCGGCACTTTTTTTTGTCGAAACAACTTTTTTGGGCAGCCGACCACTGTTCATCTACTTTATGTAGATATTTTGTGCCAGCTGTGATAGCTGGCACCAACTCTGCCTCCCTCCATACACGTGTATGGAGGGAGGCAGAGTTGGTGCCAGCTATCACAGCTGGCACAAAATATCTCCATAAAGTGGATGAACAGTGGTCGGCTGCCCAAAAAAGTTGTTTCGACAAAAAAATGTGCCGACCGGCAACAAAATATGCCGACCGGCAATAAAATGTGCCGATCGGCAACAAATAGTGCCGATGTCAGAAAAAGACCAGCCGGTGGCCTCTAGCCACTGCCGGTGGTGTGTGGGGATGTCTCACAGGGCATTCCCTGCCCCTCCAAGGCAAAACACAAGTGTTCGGTGTGAAACCAGACACTAAACGGTCAAGTTCGGAGATCCTGAGGTAGGGCGCGCGAGCCGAAACCTCCGGGAACTCTAAACGAACACATACATGAATAATCACCGAGTGTTCCAAGCGGTGACGTCCAAGTCTCGAGGATGGTCAAAAATGGGGTGTCTACAATTAGCAGTCTCTTCTTTGATTTCTTGCCTATCTTCTTTCATCTCCTATAGGAGACCTAGATTAGGTTCAATAAAAAATGATTCTATCATTTCTATATCTGCAATTCAATATAGATGAATATATACTTCATATATATTTTTGTCCTTTTATCATTTTTTTCATGTAAGTTGTAGGATTCTATCGATTTTGTTAGATAGAATATCCATTGGAATCTAATCCGAGCAAAAATTACAACCAAACACTAGAATGTGAGTCCCAATAATTAAGAATTTCAATCTTATGCTATAATCTGCCCAATAAGACAGGCCACTAATGTTTGAGCTATCCTCAACTACACCAAATACATTGAACTAATCTCAATTCAAGTCCAAGACATACAAATACATTGAACTAATCTACTTAACCATTTAAAGTTGAGTTTGGATCTTGGAATTATGAAGTGGAAAGGAAAAAAATGGGGAAAAAAAAATCTTCGATTTGTGGAGTGAACAGAAAAAGAAAGGAAAAATGAGAAGAAATTGAAAAAATATATATATAATTTCAGTTTCATTTTCCTTTCCCATGACAATACAAGATCCAAACATAGCTTAAGGAATCCTCGTTTGGTATCATGCTATTTTAGTAATTTTTAATTTTTTAATTAAAATATGAAGTAAAAAATTATGTTTAGGATGACTTTTTTTTTTTAATTTTTTATGAAAAAATGTGAGAAAATTTGACTTTTTTATATAATTTGTCAAGTTTTTTAACTTTTTTTTAATAAGTTTTAGGCTAAAAAGTGATGCTCATTCAGTGTAATATTGCTATCCATTTTATTATAAAAATACATGTAGGAAGGGTAAAGAACCAAAATTTCAAATGCTAAAATATTGAAGAACTCAAAACCCAAGATAAAGAACAAACTTCAAATCTTGAAAATAAACAATAATAGTATATCAAACAAGACTCAAAAGCACTGTCATCTCTTCCCTTTTTATCATTTCTAGGCAACCAAACAACAACAGAGCAAATTGGGATATACTGTTACATTTACCATTGAGACTGAGAGTCTCGAATTGAACACCGATATTTGTATATGTTTCAGACAGTAGGGGGAAACCATAACAGCATAACTTATTATGAAACTCCTACATCAAAGTCTGCATTCAGTCATAGGAACAAATCTGAGTGGCAGATGCTGATTTTTTTAAACCATTCTTAATTTAAAACCACATTGATTCAAGCTGACTGTCAAACCCACATTAATCTGGTTTATTCAGTTCATTTAGAATGATGCTCAGGAACAGAACACACCAATTATTTATTTATTTATTTATTGGGAAGGGACAAATAACTCAAGCACAATGTTCTTTCAATTCAATTCTCTACAAATCAAAGAAAAGGGTTTTACGAACCCACCAATACTTCATATATATATATAATATACATGCACAACCAAAATCAAAATAACGCATAAAATATAATAGCAAACACAATGTGTTGCTAAAAAATAAGCCTCGTAGTTGAAATTTTGGCGCCTAATGTGAGCCTATTAAGAAAACACAATGCTTCAGACAAAACTTCCGTGAAACTTGTGGAGTGACTGGAATCAGTGTTTATAAGTAAAAAGGAAGCAATTCAGGACTAGAGAGACTAACCTCAACTCTACTTGTGGGGGTATTTCCATAATCCCTTGCCCTCAAACCATTTTGCTTGCTTCTTATAGAGCCATTTTGATGTGTTTCAGATTTTTCCCATGTGTGTGTGAGATCTGATCCAATGGAGTGGAGCATTCCACAAATGGACATGTCCCTATTGATCCCTGATCATGAATGAGCATTCTTAGTTTCTGTTGTTGCAAAGTACAAAAACCACTAGATAATGAAGCATAAGCATGCGAGTATTCTGATCCACTTACCCAATTTCTGAAATTCAACGTGGTTGGACTTGTTATGTGATTCATTAATATCCAAATCCTGTTCAATTTGATAGAGTTCCAAAAGATCAACACAAAAATATTTCAAGATATGTGCAATTATGAATTTCTAGAAAATTTTAAACATCACCATGGCATCAATGTCCAAGACTTTCTTGACTTCCATTAGTTTTTTCTCAGTCAGATCAGAATGGATCACACGTTTGCCTGTGACATTTAACCCAAAAAAGTTTTGAAAAGCATTTAAATTTTTTTAAAAAAATAGAACTTAAAATTTGACTGAACATACCTAGCCTTCGGTTGCTTTTGGCATCAAGAAACCCATCATGGGTCGTTATCACCTTCATCAACCATGTCATCCATTATCGTCACAATTCTGCTGCTTATCTGTCAAAAGAACAAATGTCATTCACATTTCAAACTTCAGAGAATACTGGAAACACCTAATATGTAAACAAGCTGAAACAGCCGAGCACAAAGACATGTAATTGCCTATTGGTGCGACTATGTATTGGTTATCTTGCGAATGGCTAACCTAAAGTGGGTTACAAATTGACAAGTAGTTAACTAAACACTTGTTCTATATGGTAAATCAAGCTTTCAGCAGTTAGTGAAGCTCATGGAGAACAAATAGTAAAGAAATGTTAACACAGTACCTCACTGACAGATTCAGAATGCTTATCCCTTTGTACAAAATTAGCTCCCAAGCTCACATCATCGTCTTGAATGTCATCATTTTCGTCTTCACAAGGATCAAGCATACTCTTAACCTGCATAATTTCCAATTACAAAACTCAAAATTTGAACAAGGGATCCAAGTGTCTCACTGTTCCTACAATCTTATATCTTTACCTTGAGAGCTAATACAAAATGTTTGTTGTTGACATTCCCAACCTCTCAATTTTCAAAGGATTTTTAGTCCATGGGCTATGAGCTTCTTGTTCTATGCAGCTTTTGAAGAATGGAGGCTCATAATCCACAGGCTGCAAGATCAATAAGTCGGTGATCATGCTTTTCGTGGTCAAATATGAACAGACAAAAATAAGGATTTTTAGTTGAAATTGGACAGACTAGTGACAAACCAGAACACCCCAAAATCTGTAAGATTCAGATGATGCTTTATCTTTGTTAGCTTTTCCCATTCCAGCAGTTTTGCAATTTGAAAAATACATAATTCTAACTGCGTGAAAAATTGACAAAAGTAACATAAAACATTTTAATGCTATAACTCAAAACTTGAATCAAAGCAAATCATTATATTTACAAGTGTACTTACTCTTTTCCATTTTGTATCCCACCCCAGTGAAGAACTAAGGTGCCACTAGTATTAGTGACCTACATATTTATTTCTGATACAGAACCTGAAGTAGGAGCACTAATAACCACCTGTTCAATTGGATAGGATACAAGAATCTCATATTGAATACATTATCTATCTGCAAGATTTAGGTATTTGAATTCATCTAAAGCCAACAAAATTTCTGGGGTCAATAACAAATGCAAAAGCCTATGGTGTTAATACCTGTAATTTCGTATTTCCATCAAGGTTGAACTTTCTGTGAGTATGAAAGAAATAGTCAAAATCAACTGACATCCAAACCAGTAACTCAAATAATCATTTGTAATATCTGTCATTGCTCTTCACATTGAAAAATTTTCAACCAAAAGCTGATTCCAAAAGTTATTCAATGGGCAAATTAAAATGGTAGTCTATGTACTTTGTTACTTCCTGTGTCATTTTACTCCCTATAATTTCAATTGACTCGATTTTAACCATGAATTTATCACTCTGTCTCAATTTGGTTCAATTGAGTTTTTTTTTTAATTTTTTTTATATGAAAAATAAACAAATAAGTGGCATGTGGGAAAAATTATAAACTTGAGTTAAAAATACTAACGAGATAATCAATTGGACTAATAAATTCATTCAATTGAACACAATGACGTAAACGGTGCAAGGGGGGAAAAAGGTTAGAAATTGATAGTGTACCTTAGAAGTTGGATCGGTGGCTAACACAGACTGAGGAAAAACAGAAAGCACTCGATTTGTTCCCATCGGCAACTTCGTTTTCCGTAAATTCACACATTTTCCCCAGAATTTGGAAGTGATATGCAACTTTCGAATCTGTGAATTTGCTTGAACTTGAAACAAATGGTAACCAGAAATGCAAGAGGAATTGATCTTACTTTGATGCTCTAACATCACAAGAGCAAGCAAATTATGGTGAATCAAGTTATGGCCTATCGAATTGCTCATATTCTTCAGATTACGTTTAGAAACATAAAAGGCACAATTTATTCGAACATATTGTGTTTTGTATCTTGGAGACCTCAGTCGCTCACCGCCGCTGCAGGCCGCTGCTACTCGTAGTCGCCGCCGATCAAAGGATGTAGGGTTAGGGTTTGGAGAGAGGAGTGAGTGAGAGATAGGTTTGGGAATCTAAAAAAACAATGAATTGTACTGTGTGTGTTGTGTGTGTGTGGGTTGCTCTACTACGCAATAAAATAAAATAAAATAAAATAAAATAAAAAAGGTCAAGGCCAGTTTGAATTTTTATGAATTAGAAAGGAGGAAATTGTTTTATATAAAATTAAAATTAAAAAAAAAATACATACAATCACACTTATTTAGAAAATGTGATTAAAAAAGAAAATATAATCACACTTATTTAAAAAGTGAGATTAAAAATAAATAGTATCACACTCACCCAAATTAAGTGTCATTTGTTGGAATAATTTTCTGTGTAAATAAAATAAATTGAAACTAAATCAAACAAAATAAATAAATAACGTACCAAATTTATTTATCGAACTGAATTAAAAATAAAAGACCAAGTCAAGTGTGAAACACTCTGTCCTTAAGACAGATTCTCCCCGCTACGGTGCTTACGGTTGAGTGGTGTCTATCTCCCAAGATACAATGATCTTCACAAATTTGTCCGGCGAACTAGAACCTTGTGTTCTATACTCTCTTTGATTTTTCGTAAAAACTAGAATGAAGAAAAATGCACTAAATAAAATCTGGACAGCAAAAGCATATATTGCAGGCTGATTTTTTTGGATTCTAAAACACTGCTGGAATGATCTGTATTTATAGGCAAAATACACAGCCCCAAACAGGTGTTGTTTGTCACTGAACATGTGCACTTTTGAAATGAACAGATATCATTCAAAATTCAAACAGATTTTGAAAAAAAACTGTCCAGATTTGAATCTGCCTGGACAGTTAAAAAACTGTCGGTTTTAAACAGTTAGAAAAACTGTTTGAACTGAAAAATCTATTGTGGAATGTTTAGACAGGAAAAAGTTTGTTTGGACAAAAATTTAATTTCAAATTTGAATTAAATTCCCGCAATAATTTTTGAAAAAATTCAAATAAATTTTGTCCAAAAAATTAATATTAGAACCAACCCGACCCAGCACGGCCGGATGGACGGCGGCAGCGGTGTGCGCGCGCATGTGTGATGGTTTGGGCTAAGGTTCACTTTGTCCATAACTCCTCCCTTCTACAAACTTGGGGTGCCTCTTGGGGCCCAACCCAAGTGTTGTAGGCTAGAGCTTATATACTTAACAAAACTCTCTTAAAGTTTCAATGTGGGACAAGCCTCACAAGGAAACCCACATTAAAAACTTTAAATGTTCATTCCATGAACCCGAAAAAGACGTCATGTTCCCATTCACTCATAAATGGTTTTGACGAACCATCTTCATCGTGTGACTTGCCACGCGGCAAGGAACACTTCATCTCTTCGGACCCACCCCAAAAGACGTTTGGGGCCCACTCAATTTTGGGCTCAAAGTCGGCCCAAAATAAGCCTAATAAACCAAATTTTCCAACAATCCCCCACATGAATGAAATTTGACGGAGAGAAAATGCAACAACATGATCTAATTACAGAGAGTATAGAAATTGAAAATATTCTGCAAAGGATAGGTAGCTTTTGGCTTTGAATCTTCCCTTGTGAGACACTATCGGATTTACTAGCTAACTAGTGAACATGATGTCTTGAACTGTTCAGCCATTTGTGTAAACCATGACAATAGAACTCACACAATATATTCCCAGACACAGTTTAGTTCTCACTATTGTGTTCATTTTGGCCCTGAATAACCTGGTCTTGCATAAGTGCTCTAAAGAATTGTAGTTATAGCGATTCCGGTTTTCCTTTCTATATTTATTGTATTCCGAACTTTGGTTCCGTGGTGTTGGTGGTTGTATACCTTGTTGTCATCCTTTAATTCCACATGTTTGAGTTTTAGGATGTGTTGGGCATGTTTCGAACAGGTAGGTTGAGTTTTTGGTCTCAAATGTTGTTGCCCAGGTTTTTGGTGTTACGCTCGAGCGGGTCATTCTGCGCTCGAGTGGAGTTTGGCTTTTGGTTTTCTGCTCGAGCGGGCCTTCTTGCGCTCGAGCGGCGTTTACACACTCCCAGTATCTCGTGCCTCTGCAAAACTTCTGCAGCTGTGTTTTTCGCGCTCGAGCGGGTTTCTTTACGCTCGAGCGAGTAGTACTTTGTCTGCGAAAGTTCTGGGATGGGGGAATCTACGCTTGAGCAGACTGGTTTTTGCGCTCGAGCGGATGTACTTTATTCTTGTGTCTTGGCGCTCGAGCAGGACTTCTTGCACTCGAGCGTGTCCAAATTTTTGTGCTTGACGCTCGAGCGTTCTATTCTCCGCTCGAGCGGGAGTGTCGTATATCAGATGGCAGCTAGGCATTTTTGAATCACTTTTTACACTCACACTCTCTCTCTTACTTTCTAAAAATCAATTTTGAGAGCTTCTCTCTCTAGAATCTCCCTTCTCTCTAGGGTTTGATCTAGTTAGAGTGTCCCCCTATCCTTCGGCCTTTGTAAAAAGCGTGTTGATCGTCGAGGGCTTCGTTTTGATCTGAAAAGTTTGGAGTTTGGAGCACTTTGAGTTTGGTCTTCTTCTTCCTTTGAGCTCTGAATTTGAGGTAGGGATTCCTACTCACTCTTATGGGTTTTGACCTAGATTTTTGAGCTTTTGTATAAATGGTTTTGGGTTTTGAAAGTTAGGGTTTCAAATGTGTAATTTTGGAAAGGAGGGTTATGTTTATTTTGAACCATAAACATGTACTTGGGTTTCAAAATGAGTATATTGATGTTGTTGGTAATATTTAGACCCTTGGGGTTAATATTGAGAGATGTGAGAGAAAGCCCTAAATTGTGCATAAATTAATTGGTGTAATTAATTTGAGAAAGTTATGGGTTTGTGAAATTGAGTTGAATATAATGAAATTGGCTCATTATGAGATGGGATAGTGAAGTTGGATTTATAAATCATTCACTTTTAAAAATGCGGATAATTTATCTGTTAGTGCTTTTATTATCTGTCTAGAAATAATTGCTTTGGGCTACCGGTGGAGGGTAGTCTTGATTGTTGTAGACAATGCATGATGATTAGGCAAACTAAACCTGATCAATTGAATGTGTCATAGAATATGACGGTTGAAATAATACATTAACTTTATGTATTGATTGAATGTGTATATGATCTCTGTTTATATACATTGTGTTGTGTGGTAGGAGATGTGGGATGTACTCCACGGTTTAGGGGAAGATAGGGGATGGACCTCTAAACCGGATAATGTTTGGGAGAAGATAAGGGATGGACTCCGTAGATACAGCTCATATGCTTGTCTATTGAAGTATTGATACAGCTCATATGCTTATCTATTGAAGTGTTGATACAGCTCATATGATTATCTGTTGAAGTGTGGATACAACTCATATGCTTATTTGTTGAAGTGTTAATACAGCTAGTATGCTTATCTATTGTGAAGTAGAAAGTGTTTAATATGAGTTACTGTCTCATTTACATCGTTTGGCCGGGTTCTAGACTGTAGTTATAAATTGAGAATTGGAAAGGAAATGGAAAATGAAATGAAACATGGACACATTTGTCATGTAATGGAAATGGTTTGTGAATTGATTTATGTGAGTCAAACATTTATCAATTGCTAATGCCTTAGTTACTGCTCATATTATATTTAGCATATCTCTACTGGGCATTGGCTCACCCTATATGGGACATTATTTTCAGGTACATATAGCATGCCACCTCCAAGGACATAGCTTGGAAGGCTAGAGGCAGACGAACTGTTTTGTTGTTTCGCTTTCTTTTGATGTATTACATGTAAATTCAAGCCAAGGGCTTAATATGTATTTGAGTTTGCACTCTTCTTTTTGTAACCAAGTGTTGACTTGGAAAGCTGTAAGCCCATAGGGCATTTGCTTTTGTTATTAACATGTAATACTTTTGTAAGAACTACTCTGATGAATAGAAAGATGTTTATTTCTCTTATATCATTGCATGTCTAAGATGATGGGTTTTATGTATTATTTTGAGGGCGTTACATGTAGCCCTTCACAAATCTCATAGAACCGGCCCCGTTCATACTCACATAGGTGATTCTTATGAAGAGTATCCTGCCATACTCTACTAGGTTTACCTAGATATAAGAATCATTAAAATTTTACTTAACCTAAAACGCTGCAGACATCACTATTTCATCATAGAAATGGGTAGAAGTTAGACTCCCCAGTGATCCTTCTGAGTCATACACAACTCGGTTGTCCCTTTGAACCTAGATCTTGGGATCTCCAGTCAACTAGGTTGGGTTGCCGTTGTGGTAACTCTTATTTAATAGGCTTAAGTCCCATTCCCCTCGATGAATTCTCAACTAACTTTCTTGTTAACCCTTTGGTTAGTGGATCCACTATGTTGTCTTTAGACTTCACATATTCAATAGAAATAATTCCATTAGAGAGTAGTTGTCGCACGGTGTTATGTCGACGACGAATGTGTCGTGACTTACCGTTATACATATGACTCTGTGCTTTACCAATTGTTGATTGACTATCACAATGTATGCACATAGCAGGCACCGGTTTAGGCCAAATTGGAATATCTTCAAGGAAGTGGCGAAGCCATTCTGCCTCTTCCCCTGCTTTGTCTAAAGCTATGAATTCTGATTCCATAGTAGACCTAGCAATGCAAGTCTATTTGGAAGATTTCCAAGATACAGCCGCCCCACCAAGAGTAAAAACATACCCACTGGTGGATTTTGAGTCTTTAGTATCCGATATCCAGTTTGCATCACAGTAACCTTCAAGTACTGCTGGATATCTAGTATAATTTAGCCCAATGTTACGAGTAAATCAGAGATATCTTAGAACCCTTATAAGCACTTTCCAGTGTTCTACTCCCGGATTACTCGTATACCTACTTAATTTACTTATTGTATAAGCTATATCCGGGCGAGTGCAGTTCATCAAGTACATTAAGCTTCCAATAATTTGGGCATACTCTAATTGAGAAATACTTTCCTGTACATTTTTAGAAAGATACAAATTAACATCTACAGGAGTTCTAGCAAGATGATCATCATCTTTGCTGAATTTGTCAAGTATTTTCTCAATGTAATGAGATTGTGATAAAGCATATCCTTCTGAT